GTACGTCTTAAAGACGTCTTTTGGACGTCTAAAAGACATAAAAGGGACGTCTAAAAGACGTCTTTAAGACGTCTTTTGGACGTCCTTTTTACATTTCTTCAGATCTTAAATAAACATTTCTTTTTTAACATTTTCTTAATTGAAACTCAGTAATATTGTATTAAATTTATTTTAAGTTTAATTTTATTTTTTATAAAATGTGGAGAAATAATGAAAAAATTCCTACGAAGCTGGGATCGAACTCGGATACCTTGGGCTTGAAACACTGCGCCTTAAGCACCTCAGCCGTTCAAGACAGATATGAACCTCTACAAAGTTAACGATCTCACTTGTCAATGAAATGAATTCAACTTAGAAAAATTCCAATCACTTTTACATTGATTAGTTTCTAAGTACAAGTTGAACTTAGACAATAATATTTTCTATTTATGGAAATTTTTTTATTTTCAAATGTTGAATGAAAAAGACGTCTTTTAGACATCTTAAAGACATCTAATGGCCAAGACATAGAACATGTATAGGACGTCTTTAAGACGTCTTAAAGACGTCTTTTTGTACAAGTCCAAAAGACGTCCGCAAAAAGACATCTTTAGGACGTCTTTTGAACAAGTGTGCCCACTGGGTATATATTTCAAATATCTTTGTCTCCTTCTTTCTAGATACTAAATAACATTATCGGTCTCTGTTTATAACGCAAAAAATCTAACGCTATTGCTTTCTTCCTCTTTCGAAAGTAAATAACATTAGAATGTCTCTCTTTACCTAATTTGCATATCTACTCGTTTCATATTAAGGACATTCGAATTCAACCTTCTCCAAAAAGTCAGATATTTGATGAGGGAGTTTTAAATTTACTAGAATTATAAACGTTTTATAATGTATTCAACAAATATTGTAATTTTATCAATCATTTCTATTTTTTCCCTTATTTTTTATATACCTATGTTAATTTTAAAAATTATAGATTTTTACAGTATACATAAACTGATACTGTGTAATTAAAAATTTTAATAAAATTACCTATTAACCATCAAATATTTTTAAGTTGTTTTCTGCGACTATTTTCTGGTATGTCTATAAAAAACAATTTTGAAAAAATGAATTTAATAACTGTTATTGCTATAAAAAAAGTTTTTTGAAATTTGAATATTTAATGAAAGTTCTCATTTGCTCTTTTATTTTGAGTTTCTTTTAGTAACTTCTGTTGAACCAATTACATTAATTTGTAAAAAAATCATAAAATTATTTTAGGCCTAAAATTATTACTACAAATTTTACTAAATTAAAATTTGTTTAAAACTAATTAATTATACATTGGGATTATTTTATTCTTAAAAATTGAAACATGTTTTATAAACTATTTAATTATTAAAACCTTATTATGAGAATTTAGAAAATTGGAAAACTATTCCTCTCACATATTAAAATCCTGGTTTTGAATTATAAAAAACCAATAGCCAATTCGTTATCAGCTACCACAAAAACCCCCCGAGTAACAAGTTCTATGTCAGTTCAATCGTTTTTTAAAACTGTCGTCCACCATATTGGATCCGTCATTTTGAAGTAAGTATACCCTAGTAGCACGTCAGGTTGCCAAAACCTTGCAGAAACTTAACATTGCAAGGTTCGAAAGTTTGAGAAAACCTTGCAAATATTGCTGCAACTTGGGAATGTCCTTGTTGAGATAGGTTTTTGGAACTTTTTTGTGATATTGTTGAAGGCTTGTGCAAACTTGTCATCATTTTTAGCAAGGTTTTAAAAAAGTTTTAGAAAGTAATAAAAAAATATTGGGCAATATTTGGTTTCTGAAATAATACGTAATATTTTACTCCTTATTGTCGTTTATTAAATTTATTATGTACCCAGTGGGCACACTTGTTCAAAAGACGTCCTAAGGATGTCTTTTTGCGGACGTCTTTTGGACTTTGGAAAAAGTCGTCATTAGGACGTCTTAAAGACGCCTTTAATTGGTCTCTATAAGGTACTTCTTAAAGACGTAAATAAAACGTCTTAAATACGTCCAAAACATGTTCTATGTCTGGTTAATTGACGTCTATAAGATGTCATTAGAATACACTTTATTTGGACATTCTCAAAGAAGACCTGAAAATTAATTTTCTTTGTTATATTTGCAGGATTTAGATACTGAAATGAATATTACTGATGAATCATCTGAAAGATATGTTTTAATTTATTTGGACGATCCTTCTACCAAAAGAAGTTTTGATGTATTTTATACGTTATTTAGACAAAAGAAGACATATAAAAGTCGACTTTTACACGTCTTTTACTGCGAAAAGTATATTTTCTCCCATATTTTCAAAACTTTGAAAGTTAAATGAATATAATACGTGAATCGTTGAAAAGACATCTTAAAGACGACTTTAAGATGTCTTTAGAAAAACACGTATATTTTTGCTTATTATTTTCAAGAATGGTATGAACATTCTTCCAAAAAATGTTTGAAAATTTTATTATTTTTAAGTCATTTGGACGATAAAAGACGTCTAAAAGTCGACTTTTAGACGTCTTTTTCTGCGATTCGTATATATTTTCAACGTTATTTTCAAAACTTTGAAAGTCGAATCGTCCATAAGACATCTTAAAAACTACTTTTAAAGACTTTAAGTCTTTACAAACAACATACATTTGTGATTATTGTTTTCAAGAATGGTATCAACATTAATCGTCCAAAAAATATTTAAAAGTTTGTTTATTTTTAAATAATTTGGACGATAAAAGATGCCTTCACCTGCGATTTATATATATGTTCTTCGTCATTTTCAAAACTCTGAACGTTGAATAAATGTAATACATGAATCTTTCAAAAGACATCTTAAAGACGACTTTTAGACGTCTTTAGAGAAGACCTGTATTTTTTCTTCTTCATTTTAAAAAATAATATGTCATTTTATATTTATTTATTTATATTTTATGTTATTTGGACGATAAAAGATGTTCAAAAGTCGACTTTTAGACGTTTTTTCTTGCTATTAGTATACATTTTCTACGTTATTTCTAAAACTTTGAAAGTTGAACGTCCAAAATACATCTTAAAAACAACTTTAAGACGTCTTTACAAAAAACATACATTTTTGCTTATTATTTTCTAGAATGGTATAAACATTAATCGTCCAAAAAATATTTAAACATTTTGTTTTTTAATCATTTGGACCATTAAAGACGTTTAAAAGTCGACTTTTAGACGTCTTTTTCTGCAATGCATACATATTTTCTACGTCATTTTTAAAACTTTTAAAGTTGAATAAATTGTTCGGTGGACTTTTAAAAGGTAACTTATAGAAGTATTTTCAACGATTCATATATCTTTTCTGTTATAATCTCGAAATTCACGTAATTAAATGATTATGGTAAATAAATCATCCAAAAGACGTATTAAAAGACGTTGTCTTTTGAACGTCTTTCGAAGAATCATATATGTATGTTTCGTTATGTTTTAAAAAATTTTAAAATGACTAAGAGGAATAATATTTAAACTGACACAGAAAAAAGTAAATCTTTAATTAAAGATAGTCTTAAATTCAGCACTGTCTGCTATAATGTCAAATCAAACAAAATCCATTCCGCGAATTCAGTATTGACTGTCTTAAAAATGTTGTATTTTAATTTCAGGCTCAGCAGGGGCGTAGCCAAAAAAAAAGTTTCGGGGAGGTTTTATGGAATTTGATAAGAGGTGTACTCAGAATGAAATTAGAAATTTAGGCTTTAACATATAGGTTTTTCCAAAATTTCGGGGGGGGGGTTAACCCCCCTCCCCGGATACGCCCCTGCCAGGCTGCTTTCCTGTCTTAAAATATTTTGACTCGGGATTCGTAATCAGCCACCCCGAAAACCCCGAATATTGATTTTTAAGCAAATTAAATTGATTTTTAACAAGTCGTCTGCCATATTGGATCCACTATTTTGAATTTTCAAAATCTGACATATTCGTAATCAGCGGCCCCGAAAAGCCAGAAGTTAAAAATTCGAAGCGAATACAAACATTTTTTAAAATAGTTGTATTTACAGGCAGAGTGAGTAAATTTTCATGCTTGACAACTGCTAAAAAAATCATTTTTTTCAACTAATTTAGCTTGTTGGCAATATCACTACTTCCTTGTAAAGTAGATGGTTCAGTCTTAAATTTTACTCATATGAAAAGTCTTCAGCACGTCGGATTTACCCAGAAGAAATTTTCAAAAATTGCCAAAAACGTAATTTATGGGACTTTTACCCCCACGGTTTTCAAAATCCTGACGTGATGGGAGTGTTTCGTTTTCTGAGAATTAAATATGTTATAAAATAAATTTAATTTTGCATTCTAATAAATTCAATTATTGTCAGAAATAAAAAAGATTAAGGTTTTGTATGAAATTTAAGAAGATGTAAATTGGTGTTGACCAGAATAAAATTAGTTAGTTTTTTGGTGTAATAAATGTGTTTTCTTCTCTTGCTGGTCTAAAATTATATATTTGTTTTTAAAAAAATGACATGAGAACAACGTCTATGTCAATAATAAAGCTTTCGTCCTTCAAAGAAAGACCTCCTCAGTATGAATTTTTTACAATCAGTGAAATCTGTTTCAACAGTTATATTTTTTTTTTGAGTAAATAGTCAATATTAGCAACTAAATTAAAATTTAAGTTGCACGTCATAAGATTGCACGTCATAAAATTGCACATTTTTACAGTTAGTTTAAATATGATTTCAAAAACAGCATAAGTTATATATATTAATTGTTTTTTGACATGTTCTCTTTAAATTGTCAAAACATAATTGTCTTATATGAAAATTTGTGGTAACTTGCAAGTTTATAATAGGGCCAAAAAAATCCAAGTCAAGTTAAATTTTTTTATTCTCTAAGAACTGTATAATAGTATTGTAAAAAAAGTACTGTAAGACAAGTATTTAATTTTAAGAAATTAAATAATTAAATTTCTGATTAACTCAATTATAAGTATTATAATACTTAAAATGTAAAACTTTATAAGTTGAATGTTTTAATTTCGCTCATTACGGGCAATGTTTCTTTTTATTCGGTCTCCAGCCTTTCGAAACCAATCTTGTATAACAATTTTTATCTCATTCTCTGTTGAGCCCTTGTACATTTTAAGCAGTTCTTCTGAAATGAAAAGGAAATTTGGCTTAGTGCTGAATGAATCTTTACGCTAATACATACATTAATTTTTTTCAAATCGCGTGAGAGTGAAGGTGAGTGATGGTGAAGGGGTGAGAGATTTGGAGAGTAAGGGTGAAGGTGAAGATAAGAGTAAAGGTGAAGGCGTGAGTGTGGGCATAAGTGACAGTGAAGGTGAGAGTGAGTTTACGCTTTCTACACATATGTGCCTGCACCCTAAGAAGCAAAGAATTAAAAAGATATGAAAGGTTGAATTAAGAAGGTGGATGGTAGAACCGACTCTTGGCTCTGGACGCACGCGCTAATACCAGTCAGGTGTCAGTGATCAGTCCAAGCGAAGAGTCGGTAATTAATATAAAAACTTTAAGTTTGTTTAGAACCGAGAATTATGGACTATTAATAAATAATTAAATATTAACTTACTAACCTATAACGGTCACAGCTATTGTTTTATTTTCAAATTTTCGATTTCCTTTTATTCCTTTCCAAGAGTACTCCCGGGCTAAGGTATTAGTCATAATGTCTTCCATGACTGCCCTGCAAGCTTTAGCGACATTCTTTCCACCCTTTTGAGTCACCTTCCTTTTCTAAAAGCAATATTACATTATCAAGAAGCATTAACTTTTTATATTTCAGAAACAGTGCAAAATTTGAGCTAAATACTGTGTTAATATTAACAATATTTATGCAATATTGACTGTCAATGTTATATAATATTAAAATATAATAATTATTTAATAATAAAGATCATTTGGAAGTGATAATCTAAATGTAATTACTAATTTCTCTAAGGCTAGGTGATTATTTCCAAAGTCTTCTTCAAACGCCTCAAGTTCGTCAACCGTCTTTAGAGGCTCCTTTGGTAACGTTTCGTGAGACCCAGTATTAGAGTAATTCTTCCTTACTTCATTACTATCTTGTTGAATATTAATTAAATGATTCACCTTATTATGAACGACAATGAGAGTTCTGTCCATACGATACAATAACTCAATGTCTGAAAACAATTAATGATTATAAAATTAGTGGCAACTTACACTTCCATTCTACGGAAATTCTAATACCCGAATATTTCGAATACTGAATTGGATTTGAGTTTTAAATTACTCAAAAACTATTAATAATTATGATGAAATAAAAACCAGAAAAGATGAATGAAATTTTACTTAAAATCGAACACCAAGTTAGTTATTAAGTAAGTTTGTAAGTTAGTTAGTAAGTCAGAGTTGCCACAAATACTTAATTTTATTATGCCCTGATTTCCAGACAAAATTTTACACTTTTTCCGTGACTCTAAACAACATGCTGATTCACTCTAAAAATTATAAGATACTCAAAAAATGTTCTATTACATTTATTTACAAATTTCTTTAATTGTAAAATTATTCAAAAACATCAATAACTTCTTTTTTAAATAAATATTTAATCATTATTATTTTTCTGTAGGGATTAAAATTCTTCAAAACATTCAAATTTTCAAAACAAATTCGAAAAAAGTTAATTATTTACAAAAATCCTAAGAAAATCCTTCGCAATAATTCAATTATTTTTACAAAAAGTACAATTTCTAAAGAAAAAATTATATTATTTAAAAAAATGTAATAATATTCGTTGCAATAATTCAATTAATAATAAAACGATTATTCGATAATTAATTTTTAAATCAATTTTTATTAGAAAATTCTAGAATTCAATTATTTAAATTAAAAAATAAATAAATTTATTGAATAATTAAATGTTTGTTAAAATTGAATTCTCATAACGAATTTTATCAACAAATTTTTAAATAAGTCAATTCTTTGACAAATTTTAATAAAAATTTTAAAAATAATTACATTTTTCGAGGAATTTGATTAAAATATTGTATCAAAAATACTTCAAATCCTGCGATGAGTTTTATTATTTATGAAAATAATTAAAATTTTCTCAAGATTTTTATATAAATTGTTCTAAAACAATTGAATTTCGGAGAAGAATTTTATTATTTATAAAGATACTTGAAATTTTGACAAGATTTTTTTAAAAATTTTTGAACATAATTAAATTTCTGTGAAGAATTTTATTACTTTTGAAAATAATTTAATTCTTCCTACGAATTTTATTCAAGTTTATAAAAATAACTGAATTTCTGTGTAGAATTTTATTATTTATATAAATAATTGAATTCTTGCAACGAATTTTATTTAAGTTTATAAAAATAAGTGAATTTCGGTGAAGAATTTTATTATTTATAAAAATAATTGAATTCTTGAACAGAAGTTTGTTAAATTTTTTTAAATAATTGAATTCTTGCGACGAATTTTATGAAAATCTTTTTAAAAAATTGATTTTTTTCGAAAAATTTTATAAAATTTTGTATTTTAAATAATTGAATTCCTGTGAAAACTTTATTATTTATTTATTTATGGAAATAATTGATTTGTTTTGAAGAAATTTATAAAAAAGAATTTGTAAATAATTGAATTCCTGTGAAATTTTGACAAGAATTTTATTACAATTTTTAAAAATAATTGAATTTCAATGAAGAATTTTATTATTTATAAAGATAATTGAAATTTTGATTTGTCTGAGAGTTTTCTCATGAATTTTAAAAATTCAATTTTTTCCAGTACTTTTACTAAAAATCCCTGACTTTTCCCTGACGTCCCTGACCAATTTTACTTTCCCTGAATTCCCTGACTTGTGGCAACCGTGTAAGTGAGATAGTATGTTACTTGGCAAAGGTATATAGTTAAAAATTTACCATCAATTTTGTCTCCAGTTGTATCCTCCCTATTTTCAGGCGACGCCATTAAAGATCTATCATCTTCAATATTGTTTGAGACGTCTAAATTGTTATAAACCTCTTCTTGGCTGTTACTTATGTTAATGGTGACGTCAGACAGACTCTGTGTTAGGTTATTGTTGTCAGAATTCAAGGTTGTTGTAATATTAGACAAACTGTCACCTAATCTCTTTTCTGATTCTTTTGAAGAACTACGTTTTTTTCTGTCAAAGGTGTTTAATCTCGCTTTCTCTTTTAACGAATCAGGAATTTTATTTTTGTATGTTTCATCTTTACTTTTTTCTTCGGATGAATTACTTTTTGTACTTTTGGAAGTTACTGATCTCTTTTCCTCTCGTGACGAGGTTTTGTTTCTGCTTCCAAAACTGTGTCCTTTTCTTTCTTTTGATGGACTGCACTTTGGTTTTATTGAATTTGATCTTCTTTTGTCATTTGACATAGTATGGTTTCTGCTTCCAGATATTTCTCCTTTTCTCCTACTTGAAGAACTCTTCTTATGGCTCATTTCATTTTCTGATAGTTGTTTTTTTGATAAATTACGGCTTCTGCTTCCAGATCTTTCTCTTTTTCTTCCACTTAAAGTACTCTTATTTAGGCTTATTTCGTTTTCTGATCGTTGGTTTTTTGATAAATTACCGTTGCTGCTTCCAGAGGTTTCTGTTTTGTTTCTATGGAAAGTATGACTTCTGCTTCTAGACTTCCTTGTATGATGTTTTCTATTCTTTGATGAACTTCTCCTTCTGCTTTCAAAGCTATTTCTATGGCGCTCTTTTGATGGGTTACGTCGGCTATTTCTAGAAGTGTACTTATTTCATTCTAATGATGGACTATACTTTCTGTACTTTTCATTATTTTTTGCATTTGATATAACATCTTCTTTCCCCTTTCCCTCTTTTTTTCCATTGATCTGTCCGCCATGCCCATTTACTTCAACTAAATAAACAAAATTTTTATTATTAACTGTAAATTTGTGTTGTGTCGAATTTTTTATTCATTATTTAAGCATCTCAAGTTCAAAATCTAAATTATTAGCTGCGACTTATTAAAAAATTGGTCAAATGCGACCACTTACCAAGTCGAATAAACTTATCTCTTTTTAACAGTTTGGAAAACACTTATATCTTGTAAGTATATAGTAGAAACTACGTACTTTTGAACAATGTTTCAGAAGTAACGCAATTGTATACTTTGTACTTAAAAGATACGTGTTTTCCTAACTGTCAAAAAGAGATACACTACCGTCCACGAGTATCAGGACGATTACACGCGACTCTATAAAAAAACATGCGATCGCTTTTTCAATCATATCTCGGAAATCAAAGGAGATACAAAAAAAACTTAAATACGGTTAGAAAGCTTATTAAATTCTACGTAAAATAAGCCGTCCTTGAAGTTATTTCGTTAACTATTTTTTGAGTTGTAGACGAAAAATAAATAAAAAAAATTATTAAATTTTCTCATTTCTGTCTCTTGACTTCAACTTTTTCAAAAATCAAGAAAAATTTAAATAAAATTTTTCTAAAAACACAGAAATCTTTGTTAGAATTTCAGCTTTAAAATATGCCTTCAAAAATTAAAAAAGGTTAATCCGTCTTCGATATATCATTAAAAATGTGAAGCCGTGGTTCAACCGATTGGTGGATTGAAATTCAACTGTGACGACTCGGTTCTAGCTTCGCGCGGCAGCGAATAATAGAAAATAAGGACGATTTTTTGCTGAAGAATAATAAATAATGATGTTTCACGAGTAATATAAAGAAACTCAAAAGTTCATCGTTCCCCGCATGAATTCGTTCCTGTTTTCTCTCTCATTCGCTGCCGCGCGAAGCCAAAATCGAGTCGTCACAGTTGAATTTTAATGCACTAATCGGTCGAAACACGACTTCACATTTTTAATGATATATCGAAGACGGATTAACCTTTTTTAATTTTCAAAGGCATATTTTAAAGCTGAAATTCTAACGAAGATTTCTGTGTTTTTAGAAAAATTGTATCTAAATTTTTCTAGATTTTTGAAAAAGTTGAATTCAAGAGACAATAATGAGAATATTTCATCATTTTAAAAATTTTTTTCTCACTCTACAACTCAACAAATAGTTAACGAAATGACTTCAAAGATGGCTTATTTTACGCAAAATGTAATCAGATTTCTAACCGTATTTAAGTTTTTTTTGTATCTCCTTTTATTTCCGAGATATGATTGAAAAAGTGATGACATGTTTTTTCATAGAGTCGAATGTAATCGTCCTGATACTCGTGGACGGTAGTGTATAGTAATTATCCTAACAGAATAATTTTGATCCAGTGCTAGAAAAAAAATCAAAATCGCCTGTCCGTAAGTTTCATATTTTTAAGTAATTATCGAAAATTCTGAATATTATACCTGATATTTAAATAACCTAGTGCAGATAATTGCCTTATTAAGAAAACAGAAAATTTCTTATCATTTCTGCCTATCGTTTTTCACTTGGTGAAAATTAAAATTTGCTTCCACCTGCTCGACCACTATTATTTTTGTCCATCACATATTCTAGTCAACCAAAATAGAGTATCGTTAAGTTCAAAATCCAACATCGAAAAATCAAAGTTAGTAGGATCAAAAATGACATTTTAATTTTAATCACCCATGTATTTTGTGCAAAATAATTGTAAAAAAGTAGAATTTAAATTAGAGCTGTGCAAAATAATTCGAACCGGACTGTTCGAATTTTTTCGCCTAGTTCGGATGTCGAAAATTCGACATTCGAGTTACTACAAAATTCGAACCGAACCGAGTTTTGTTCGGTTTTGGTACGCTAAAATGTAGAATTCTAAAATTCGACATTTCAGTCGCCCAGTTCGAATTTTGCACAGCTCTAATTTAAATGTATGAAAAAAAGATTTGAAACATAAAATTCATAAGCATGAATTTTATATAAACCTTTAAACATAAATTAAATTAAAAACGCCAATTTAAAAATTAAATCTTCCATTAATAATAATAGTTTAGGTCAATAAAAAATACTTATTTGTTTAACGGTAATCGAAGGTCTGTGAACTTTCCATGTTATGGGAGACATCCGATTATCGCCCACCAGAAGCGGCAGACTGCACTGACTTGTTTAAATGACGTGATATAGGTAAACAAACATTTTTCAACCACGATTACGCTCCTGGTATTGAGCATGACATACGCGTCTCCCAGTTACTCTCCAGTTCTTCCAAGTTTTTTTAATGCATATTAACCCCATCGACTAAAAAACCATTGTAACTGTGAGCCGGATTACGTTGTGCAACAAATAAAATCCATATAAGTGCAATTGTGTTGTTATTTGTGCCGAAAATTAGTGTTTTGTCATACCTCGTGGTGATCGCTTGCTTCGTAGCATTAACCTTGTCAAAAACATTGGCCTCAAAATGGAAGACAATAAAACGTCTAAAACACTTTCCCTGCAAATCCCTACACAAAACCTTAAGTGCAGAGCATGTGGTAAAAAAGTTATACACCCAGTCCAGTGTCCAGGTTGCCAAGCAAACTATCATATCAATTGCACAGAAACTAGAACATCACTCATAGAAGGTATAGGTTATGCTAAGTGTTGCGGCCCTGACTCTTCCAGAACCCCCTCACCTACCGTATCAAACGCAAGTTCCCAAAGTGATGAAACCCTTCTCCCCACATCTGGTGTCAATACAATTGAAGCCCTCTCCGCACAAATGGCAAATATGACTTCTCGTTTACTATCAGGTCAAAACAGGGTAGAGGCTGCGGTCTCTCAGCTCCAAAAAGAAATGGTTGAAGTAGGAAAAAAATTTCAAAGACTAGATGACAATGTGTCAACAATCCAACAAGAAATAGTTTCCCTTTCTGACAGAGTTGAGGACATGGAATGCAAAATCACTGAATCTGAAACTACTGTTGCAAACCTGAATATATCGAGAGATTCTATATTGGGTGAGTGTGAAGATCGCTATAGAAGGAGAAAAAATTTTATAATTTTTGGCTTGAGTGAACAATATGATAACTCTGGATCATTTAATCAGGATTCAGATCATAAGTCTACAATCAAGTGTATAAATTCCCTATTCTCTTCTTCTATCTCCTTTTCCGAAGATTTAAAAAGTTCTAGACTAGGTAAATTTTCCCAGGCTCGCCTCACGCCGAGACCAGTCAAAGTGACTTGCGACACCGAGAGCCAAGCAGCCTTGATACTTTCTGCGGCGAGACAACAGAAATCAGCTGTTCTTCACAGCCATCCTCGTGTCACATTCGCTCAGGACAAAACTCAGTTACAACAACAAACGTACAAGCAGGTGAGAAAGTCTTACGACGACCGGATCAGCAAAGGAGACACCAACATCAAAATTCGTCACATAAAAGGAATCCCCACCATTGTAAAGACCTAACTGATACTGCAAATAAGTGTAGCGATACTAATGTGTGTAAACTGTTCTATCAAAATGTGCGTGGTCTAAACACAAAATTTTCCTTTTTAAGAGAATTTCCCGATTATAATTATTATGACATTTTAGCTTTAACTGAATCATGGCTATCGCATAATGTGTCATCACATGAACTATTTTCACCATCAATGTACAACGTCTTCCGTCATGATAGACAGTTGCGTAGAGGAGGTGGTGTATTGCTTGCCGTAAAATCAAACTTCTGTGTTAGTGACATTGAGATTACATTCCCAGAATATATATCAACCGTAATCAATTTTCTGTGCCTACGAATATTTCACCCTACTATTACTTTTGATGTACTTCTTTTATACATACCACCCAATCTATCCTTACAAATTTTCATAAATATTTTTGAATGTTTAAAGTCACAAATACATCTCCTTTCTAATAAAATAATTTTCTTAGGTGATTTTAATGTACCAAATTTCGTCGATTATGATAATACTAGATTAATTAGCGACAAGAGAGTTGAATCTTTATTATTGTTTTCTGAGTTTTTTGATACTCCCCAGTATAATTCGGTCCGAAATTTAAATGACACTTGTTTGGATTTAGTTTTCTCTAATCTTTTCTGTGACACTTTTCAGGCATCATTCCCATTGGTTCCTGAAGACCCTCACCATCCTTCTCTAAACTTAACCTTCTCTTACCCCACATCCCCAGACATCGCTGTTAACCTTATGCAACCAGAGCCTGCTCAACAAAGATTCAATTTTAAAGCCGGAAACTTCCCGATGATCTTTTCCGAACTCGCTACTTGGGATTGGTCACCAATAAAAGAAATTGACGATATAAATGATGCTTGTCTCTCCTTACAAAATAAAATTCTAAATACATTTGAAAAGCACATTCCATACTACAAAGAAATTAAAGAATCTAAAAAGAAATTCCCAAAGTGGTTCTCACAAGATATCATTAGCGATATTCATCTAAAAATTCTATTTTTCGCAAATATAGAATCTCAAAATCACCCACACTAAAAAATCAATTAAAACACCTCTCGAATAGTATAAAAAGGAGAATTCATGAAAAATATAAATCTTTTTATAGGTCAATCGAAAATGACTTTTCTGAAAATCCTAATGCCTTTTGGAAGTATGTAAACTCGGAAAACAAATGCCTAAGAATCCCTAAAGTAATGAATCTAAAAGACCATGTCTTTGATACTCCTCAATCAATTATAAATGCCTTTGCTAATTATTTTTCGAGTGTGTATACTCCAATTGATCCAAATATTCCTAACTCTAATCCATTTTTAAATTATAGTCATTGCATCGACCTACAACTAAGTATAACAGAAGTTTCCTCAGCGCTAAAATCGTTAAATCCAAAAAATACAGCCGGAACTGACAATATCCCTAGTTTTTTCTTAAAATACTCCTTCTCTATTCTAGCAGAGCCACTTTGTTTCCTCTTTAATAAAATGTTAGCAACG